TGTTGATTGATTCTCTTATATTGAACCATCCCTGCACTCCTGGAATAAATCTCACTTGGTCATAGTGTATGGCTCTTGGATTCTATTGGCTAATATTTTATTTAGGATTTTTGCATCTGTATGTGTAAGATCACCTGCAGTTTTCTTTTCTTGTGGTGTCTTTGTCTGGTTTTGGTATCATGGTTATGTTTGCTTCATAGAATTGATTAGGGAGCACTCCTTCCTTTTCTGTCTGTTGGAAAGGTTTAACAGCATTGGTGTTAATTCGTCTCTAAATGTTTGGTGGAATTCCCCCGTGAAGCCGTCTGGTCCAGGACTCTTTAGTGCTGTGAGATTTTTCATCACTGATGCAATCTCTGCGCTTGTTAAAACCCGTTGGGACTTTCTGTTTGCTCTTGAGTCAGTTTGGGTAGGTTGTGTGCTTAGAATACATCCGTTTCATCCAGGTTATCTGGTTTGCCATATGTTGTTGTTGTTAGGTGCCGTTGCGTCGGCTCTGACTCGTAGCAACCCTTTACACAGCAGAACGAAACAATGCCTGGTCCTGTGCCGGCCTCGTGATCCTTGCTGTACCCGAGCCCATTGTTGTAGCCACCGTGTCGTCCATCTCAGTGAGGGTCTTCTCCTTGTTTGTTGACCCTCCACTTTACCCAGCGTGACATCCTTCTCCAGGGAACGGTCCTTTCTGACAACATGACCAAAGTAGGTGAGGTGAGGTCTGGCCATTCTCACTTTCAGGGAGCATTCCGGCTGCACTTCTTCCAGAACAGATTTGTTTGTTCTTCTGGCAGTCCACAGTACTTTCAGTATTCTTGGCCAACACCACAGCTCAAAAGCATCAACTCTTCTTCAGTTTTCCTTATTCATTGTCTAGCTTTTACATGCATATGAGGTGACTGAACATACCATGGCTTGGGTCAGGCACATCTTAGTCTTCAGAGAGACATCTTTGCTCTTCAGCACTTTGAAGAGGTCTTTTATTGCAGATTCGCCCAGTACAATACATTGTCTGACTCTTGACTGCTGCTTCCATTGGTGTTGATTGTAGAACCAAGTAATACGAAAATCTTAACAACATCAATCTTTTCTCCATTTATCATGATGCTGCTTATCGGTCCAGTTGTGAGGATTTTCGTTTTCTTTATTTTGAGTCCATACTGCAGAATATAGTCTTTAATCTGCTGCAGTAAGTGCTTCAAGTCATCTTCACTTTGAACAAGCTCAGTTGTGTTGTCTGCATATCGCAGGTTGTTAATGAGTCTTCCTCCAATCCTGATGCCATGTTCTTTGTGTAGTTCAGCTTCTCGGATTATCTGCTCAGCACACAGATTGAATGAGTACGGTGAAAGGATACAACCCTGATGCACTCTCTTCTTGATTTTAAACCATGCAGTATCTCCTTGTTCTGTTCAAATGACAGCCTCCTGGTCTATGTACAGGTTCCTCATGAGCACAATCAAGTGTTCTGGAATTCCCATTCTTTGCAGTGTTACCCATAATTTATTATGATCCACACAGTCGAGTGCTTTTGCATAGTCAATAAAACACAAGTAAACATCTTTCTGGTATTCTTTGCTTTCAGCCAAGATCCATCTGACGTCAGCTATGATACCTCTTGTTCCATGTCCTCTTCTGAATCCACCTTGCATTTCTAGAACTCCTCGGTCAATATACTGCTGCAACCGTTTTTTAATTATCTTCAGCAAGATTTCACTTGCGTGTGATACCAGTGATATGCTTGATAATTCGTACGTTCTGTGGGATTGCTTTTCTTTGGCATGGGCACCAATATGGGCCTTCAGTCGGTCAGCCAGCCAGGCACTCCAGAAGGTTCTGTCACAATTGTCTTAATTTTTGTCAGATCGATTCTAACGTTACCTCTTTCATTTCTCAGTTTGGTTATTTACTTCTTCATTTTATCAGTGTAGTTACAGGTTTGTCAGTTTTATTGATCTTTTCAAAGAATCACCTGCTAGTGTTACTGAGTCTCTGTTGCTTTCTGGTTTTGCTTTAATTTCTACACTGGTCTTTGGTCTTTCCTCTCTCTGATCGCTGTAGGCTTAGTTTGCCTTTGTTCCTGGAGCTTTTGAGTTGGGCTGTTCATTCTCAATCTTTCTTCTTTTCTTCATGTCAGTGTTTATTGTTGTCAGCTTCCCTCTGAGTCCTGCCTTTACTGCGTCCACATGGCTTGGTGTCTTGTGACCTCATTGTCATTTGACTCTTGAAACTGATGATTCCTTTCAGTTTAATTTCTGCCTCCTCCCATTGGTGGTTTGGGTGGTGGTGTTATGTACCGTCCAGTCGGACCTGACTCATAGCGACCCCTCCTTGGGTTTCCGAGGTGGTATCACTACGGAAGTAGATTGCCCAACCTTCCTTCTGAGGAGTGGCTGCTGGGTTTGAACCACCAGCCTTCTGGTTAGCAGTCAAGTGCCTTAGGCACTATACTACCCTTGGCCTGTTGGTAGTGTGATGATCAGTGTGTTCCTTAATTCCCACATGTTGATGTGTTTTCCGAGTATTTTCTGTTACTGACATCTAGCGTCACTCCGTTGTTGTCAGAGAAGGTACTTGGTACGATTTTAAAGTTTATCCAGACTTCTTTGTGAGCAAGCATGGCCTGTCTTGAAGAACGGTCCACAGCAATCGGACTAGAATGTGTAGTGTGCTGTTTTGGGGTAGAGTTCTGTGTGGGTCTGTTGAGTCCAGTTGGTTAAAATGATTGTTTCTAACATTCATTTACTAAGAAGGTAAACCTCAATGTATCATGCCTAGTAACATATTCTGGTGTTCATATGGGAAAAACAATAGGGCCACAAGAAGAAATGGACAAGTGCCCTGTTAATGTGGAAAATGTTCAACCAAGTAACTGTGGGTCAGGCTGCCAGCAAATGGGGACAGAGGCAGGAGGTGGGCCAAGGAGTGTAGTGTGGTGGCCGCCATGAGCTGGCTGATGCAGAGACAGTGTGAGACAGCTCAGACCCATGCCCTTCAGCCCCGGTCGAAGAGTCCCAGGGGTGGCCACAAAGCATGTCCCATGAACGTCAGAGAGCCGGTACCTTGTTAGGTTCTCGCGAAGTCACTAACAAAGGACAGTCAAAACGTTTATATCTTACATCTGGAAATTGTTATGTTGTTAATGTGCCGTCAAGTCAATTAAAACACCTTTAAACAAAGAAGAAACACTGAAGTAAGGATGTGCTTAGATAATGAAGTCTGCACACACTAAAACTGTGGGGTCCCAGCCAAGCAGCCCTGTGGGCAAGAGTGTCAGTGGCAAATGTTCACTTCAGTGAAGAAGGGGCTGGAGGTGAGCACCCAGCAATCCCGTGAAGGGCAGGCTGGACCCAGTGAAAGTAGGGGAGGCTGAAGCCCAGACATGAGCTCGAGACAGGGCTGCCCATGAGCTCGAGACAGGGCCCCCTGTACAGACAGGTTTTCAGATCCCGTGAACGAATTTGACTGCAGTTACTCCCGAGAGCAGAAAGGCAGCAGACTGTTTGACTGGTTCATACCAGTAAGTTTGGAAAAATTAGATGTCAGGATAAATCCTAAGGAAAGACCCAGCTTCTCAGAAGTGACTCAGAGCCTGGAGTTCTGCAGCCGGGGAGCACCTGCATTCAGCTCCGATGGCTTGTTAGGTCCACCAAGCACTCAGAGTGGCACGTCCAGCCCTACCAGCCCTTCTGGAGAAGACACAGAGGGTGGACAGCCACCAACTCACCGAGTCCAACACCAAGTGGGGGTCACTCGAGGAGGACAGCTGTGGACCAGTGCCCCCTGGAGTCACGGTGCCACATACTGCAACCTGAGCACCTGGCATCCAGCCACACTCCTGGGCCCTGGCTCCCAAGAGGCCAGATGGGGCTCAGTTACAGACCCGTTGGTATGTCTTCCTTCACAAGAGCAGAGGGGCCGTTGTGTGACCAGGCAATATCCACCTGTGAATACAGGTAAAGCGTCGGTGCGTCACAAGCGGGCAGACACGTGCAGAATCAGTGTCCTTAGGAGACCCTAACCAGTGCCTTGAGAGTGACAAGGACAAAATGGCAGGACTGGGAGGGGGAGCAGAACTCCCACTACTTGTGGAGAGCATGGTGTCTGCCAGGAGACCTTGAGGCACTCTACAGAGCCCAGTGACCTGTGGGGGAGAGTGAAAATGGGCAGCTGTTACAGTTGTTGGTCACACATGTCTGGTAAGCTTGAAGGCTCACATGCTCTAGAGATGCTCCTGTGTCGACATGTGGACACGTTCTCAGCCAGTAGCAGGAACCCAGAAGCAGCCCACATGCCCCAACAGCAGTCTGGGTGCATGGACTCTGTGAGCCGCCACGGAACAGCCCGCCTCCTGGTGCCATCCCCATGAGCCGTTGCAGGTTGGCCTGTTAGGATCCATAGGCTGTGTTCTGGAAGTAGACCACCAGGCCTGTCTCCCTAGTCTCTCAGTCTGGAAGCTCTGCTGAAACCTGCCCACCACAGGCAGCCTTGTATCCAGCATCACAGCAACACTCGAGCCCCTGCTGCACGAGGGGGACAGGTGGGGGGTGGTGCAGGGTGAGAGCAGACCACTCAGACCCCGGGGCTGTGTCAGGGGCACCTCAGGCAGAACGTGACCGTGGGCAGTGGTGGAGCCCGGGCCTGGCTTCCAGCCGTGTGGGCAAAGGTGCCTGGGAGGGGAGGGCTGTGGTTGTGGAGCAGGGAGCACAGGGCCCCTGTGCTGCGTCAGAGCCTGGCTTGGCCACCAGGAGCCCGTCAGCCAGTGTCCTGTGTGCCGGGGTGCCCTGCACACCAGCACTTAGTAAACGCTCCCGGTGACACTGGCCTGTCCGCAGGACGGACCGCACCCGGTGACACCGGCCTGTGTGCAGGACACGCTGCGCCTGGTGATGCCTATCCACAGGACAGACTGCACGCAGTGAGTGACACTGGCCCGTCCGCAGGACGGACCATGCCCAGTGACACTGGCCTCTCTGCTCTTCTCTTTCCGGTCTCTGCCCCAGTGAAGATTGTGATCCGTGGGGACAGGAACACGGGCAAGACGGCCTTGTGGCACCGGCTGCAGGGGAAGAAGTTTGTGGAGGAGTACATCCCCACCCAGGAGATCCAGGTCACCAGCATCCACTGGGGCTATAAGAGTAAGGGCGGCGCTCAGGGCTCGGGGGCTCCCACAGGGCAGGCTCAGCCCTAGGAGCGTCCCCTGCCCTGTGTCCTCGGGACTCGGGGGGCTGGCAAGGGTGCCCTTCTGAATACCAGGACTCGGGGGCTGGCAGGGGGGCCCTTCGAAAGCAGGGACTCCAGGAGCTGGCGAGGGTGCCCTGCTTTAAGCTATGTCTAAACCCACCCTGTGTCCTGGGCCAGGACTCTTAAGAAGCCTGCTTGAGGGTTGTAGCCTCAAAGCGATTGTCCACTGGCTGCCAGGAACTGGACGCTGAGGGAGCCATGGGGTGTCGTACTGTGGCATGTGAGGTGGGGGCCAGAGGAGGCACACGACAGAAGGCAGCTAGGGCAGGACCCCTCGGTGCTCCCGGGTCCTCTCCCGGGAACTGTCACCACAGCCCCTGCTGCTCACAGCCTCAGCGGCCTCTGCTGCTTCTGAGGTGGGCAGCCTCTCAGGACTGCTGGCTGTGCTTTGGACAGTGCCATGTCCTCTCCTCCTCAGCCAAGTGGCAAGGAGGTCTAGGCTGTTACAGGCAAAGTGCTCAGGGCTCTGGGCCAGGGCAGGCCGTGGACAGTGACGGCAGGCCCTGGGACCACATCTGGTCAGCCTGCCTGGAAGCAGAGGGGCTGCTTTGCATGTAAAGGAGTCCTGACAGCAGAGGTGCTCCAAGTCATTTCAAATCTCATTAAGAAATAAAGTCACACCTGTCATGTTAACAGTGGGCCATGCGGGGCCCTTTTTGAAAGGCCTGTCCTGACATTTAGTGACACGCACATGTCCTTCTTCCAGATGTGATCCTCCACATGGAAACACCTTGTGTGTGCCTGTCCACGTGTGGGTGCCCACATGTGAACGACTGTGTGACCATCTCGTGTGCCTGTCCACGTGTGGGTGCCCACATGTGAACGACTGTGTGACCATCTCGTGTGCCTGTGCACGTGTGCATGTTACCATCCTGTGTGAGCATCCACATGTGACCATCTGCATGTGCATGTTGACATGTGAACGTTCTGTGTGGGCATCCGTGTGAACAGCTGCCTGTGATGCTCATGTGAACATCCAGTGTAACCATCTACATGTGCATGTCCACATGTGAATGTCCTGCATGAACATTCTCGTGGAATCATCTTCACATGGGTGTCCGTGTTTGAATGAATATGTGTCCGTGAATGTCCATCTGTAAACATCCATGCATGGCCATCTGCATATGAATGTCCACGTGTGAGCATCCTTTGTGACCATGTATCTACATGTGATTGTCTGCATGTGACCATCTGCCTGTGAATGTCCCATGTGAGCATCCTGTGTGAGCATCCATCCATGACCATCTGCATGTGAATGTCCATGTGTGAACATCCCATGTGAACATCCATGTGTGATCATCTGCATGTGAATGTCCATATGTGAGCATCCCATGTAATATCCTCTGAGCATCCATCTGTGACCATCTGCATGTGAATGTTCCATGTGAACATCCATGTGTGACCATCTGCCCATGAACGTCCCATGTGAGTATCCATGCATGACAGTCTGCCTGTGAACATCTACACGGCTGGCCTCATGTCACTGCCTGTGTGTGGATGCCTGCATGTAACTGCATGTGACCATCCCACATGAATGCCTGTGTGTGAATGCCCCTTGTAAATATCCTTGTGTCAGTGTCCCCATGTGACTGCATGCCCTCCACACAGTCCAGCATCACCTCACCCGTCACAGGGCTCGGCTGGCTCTCTGGGAGCCATCGCTCAGGCTTCCTTCCTGGTGCCATGTGGGTGGACCGGATGGAGTGAGCATGTACCCCAGGGGCCAGGCGTGTACGCCTCTCCGTCTCTGGGCTGGCACACATAGCCTCACACCCAAAGGCTCTTACAGGCTGACGAGTGGCTGCCTGCACTCTGCTGCCTACACGGCACGTGTGAGCAGCTCAGTGGGCAGGAGGGTGGGACAGTCGAGAAGGATACACTGGAATCCACTCGGGTCCCAGGTGACCCCAAGAGGCTGGGGCCCACACGTGTCCCCACTGTATGGCCTGTGAGGCGAGGGGGTGGAGTAGGGGAGATGTATCAAGGACACGGGGATCATGCCCAGCCAGAAGCATGGCCAAGGCTGCTGCCCCCTCATGTCCCCCAGCCCCTGGCCTGCCCTCCCACACACGAGGAGAGCCATAGGCGTGGGAGGGGCCGCTGCAGGGTGGGGCCTCTAGGAAGGGCACTGTCCGTGGGCAGGGCTTACCAACAGGATGCCGTTTGAGCAAGAGCTGGGGTCTGGGGGACAACGGAGTGTTGGGGTGGGACCTGGCAGCTGGGTGGGTGGCAGGCAAGACGGGGGCGGGCAAGGGGAAATGGGCAAATGGGCGTGGAGGGTGGGGGGCGTGTGGGCTGGTGGAGGGAGCAATGACTCCAGGACCCCCTTGGAGACCAGATGTTACTCTGGGAGTTAATCTTTCAATTCCCTTTCTAGCCACTGACGACATCGTGAAAGTTGAGGTCTGGGACGTAGTGGACAAAGGTGAGTGGTGTGTCGTTCATGCACATGTTACCTGTAGACCTAGGCGTCCTGATTCCTGTCCCCTCACACACAAACACATACACACACACGTCACCCATAGAACCAGGCATCCTGATTCCTGTCCCCTTGAACACACACACACACGCACGTGTTTCACCCATAGAACCAGGCGTCCTGATTCCTATCCCCCACACACACTCACACACACGTGTCATGCTTTAGAACCAGGTGTCCTGATTCCTGTCGCCCCACACACACACACATCACCCATAGAACCCGGTGTCCTGATTCATGTTCCCACACACAGAAACACACGTGTCACCCATAGAACCAGGCGTCCTGGTTCCTGTCCCCATCCAGCCCCACATCATCCTGTAGAACCCATCAGCCCTGCATGTGTTCAGGTGCTGGCCCAAGTTTGGTGACTGGGCATGTCCTTGTCCCCCATTAGTCTCAGCCTTGCACTGCTGTGGCGGGTGTAATGGACACCTTGTGCAGGCCAGGGACATTCCCCTCTGAGCACATGAGGTCCTCAAGGTCACTGTCGTGCCATGGCCAGGGTCGTCCCAGACCTGGGCAGCCTGTGTGTCTGGTGTCTGGGGAGGTTCCAGTCCCACTTGCAGGGACAGCCACATCCATCCCTGTGTCACCATCTCACTTCTGTGCTATTTTCTCCTTGCACTCAGGCAACAAGTTCCTCCTGGGTGACGCTGCCGGTGAGCGCACACTGGCTCTGAGCCTCGGGGTGTGTGTGTGTGTGTGTGTGTGTGCTGTGCTGACACTGCCCCACGCTGGCTCTGAGCCTTGGTGTGTGTGTGTGTGTGTGTGTGTACGCAGTGCTCACACCGCCCTACACTGGCTCTGAGCCTCGGGTGTGTGTGTGTGTGTGTACGCGCAGTGCTGACACCGCCCCACACTGGTTCTGAGCCTCGGGTGTGTGTGTGTGCAGTGCTGACACCACCCCACACCGGCTCTGAGCCTCGGGTGTGTGTGTGTGTGTGTGTATGCGCAGTGCTGACACCACCCCACACTGGCTCTGATTCTCGGTGTGTGTGTGTGTGTATGCAGTGCTGACACCGCCCCGCACCGGCTCTGAGCCTCGGGTGTGTGTGTGCGCGTGTGTGTGCAGTGCTGACACCACCCCACACCGGCTCTGAGCCTCGGGGGGTGTGTGTGTATGTGTGTGCGTGCGTGTGCAGTGCTGACACCGCCCCACACC